TTTATTATAGTATTTGAATATAACATGTGGCAACGATTAGATAATTCTATTCTTTAAATGATATAAATTTTGTGCATTATGAGTTATAATATGAATGAAATATATTATAACTGTTATATAATTATTGGATTATATAACAGTTAACTTAGTTTCCGTTACATAATTATTATATAAGTTAACTGTTATATAATTATTAATACTGTTAAGTGAATCTAGCGCCAGAGTGTCGCTATGGTAAACAAATACTAGAGTGAATTTTAAAGAATGCATTTAATCTATTGTGGTTTATGTGCTGTTGGCAAAGTAGATTTAATTCAATCCAATAAGTTTAAATGAAATGCAAGAAAAATGCGTATAATTTAATATTCCGTACAAGGAAGTCGTGGTGTACACATCAGATTTTTTTATCTTATATATATGTAAACAAAAAGGCATGGGTTACAGCTTATTTTTTTAATATAAAAGAAGTAATAGATGCTACAGAAAAAATTGATGGCATAGCAAATTATTTACATTAATTAGCATTTATTATGAAATAGAAAAATTGGCATTAGTTATTTCTAAGAAACAGTATAGCTTCAGCAAGATCTTTTTTGTTGGAGGCCCATAGATCCGATTTGATAAACTTCAGAGCTGAGAAGAGTCTTTTCACACTAACTTGAGTTGGAGGAAGAGCTGTTACTGTTAGTTCTACTTCTTTTAGCTTTTCAGGATAGATTTTTATAACTTCTAAAAGAGGTGTCTTGCGCAATCATATTTCTCTAGTTCTCCAAAAGCCGTGTAGAAATCTTTTTTTGTATTAGGGAGACTGGAAAGTAATGTCGCTTTCTTACATTAAATTTAAACGAATACACTTTTAACAAGTTTTATTTTTAATCAATAATATAATCACCCTCGTTATCAACAACCTTTTGCCATCTAATGTGCTGATTCTCAATCCCGGACCAATAAAAATCAATTGGTTTTTGAGTAAAATATCTTGAGAGAACATTTTGGACATCATTCAAATTTTCAAATTTTTTGCCACTAAGAAAATGTTGTAGGGATCCGAATAAATGGAAATCCAATGCTGCAATATCGGCCGTGTATGGTGGGTGAGTATGGCAGTACCTCCCACCCCAATTCATTAATTTTTTCCAGTGTTCGTCTTGCACAGTGCAGTCTTGCATTGCTTGTTGCAGAATGACGCCTTTGCTGTTGACAATTGATATTTTTAGATTAAAGATTGGTTCACTCCATCCAATTGTTCACAATAAAGGTCTACATTAACAGTTTTTCTAGGTTTCAGCAATTCAAAATGAACAATTCTGCGAATACTCCTCAAATGCCTTTTCGGGATGTAAACCCTTTGTAACCCCTATTAAAACTGCGTTTTGAGTTTTGGATTATCATGTAGGACTTATTTTTTTGCCTCCACTAATCAAACGATCAAAAAACGGTTCTGTATGGTGCCATTAGCCCCTTCGCGCCGGCTGTCACGTCTAGGTGCCAGCAACAAACACACTCACTTCCTGGCCGACACGCAGGTGTGCCAGAGCATTTTCCCGTTCACTACCAACTGTCACGTATTTGTGCCAGTGTCCTGGCACGTTTTTCAAACTATAATTTCTGCCACAAGATGGCACTGTATGTCCACATGGTTTCAGATACATGTACATTAACCTTCTACTCGAAATGAGAGAAACATGACTCACATGCACGTGTTTTTGATTATATAAACAAAAGGGGAAATAAATGTTTCCGAATGGAGTGATTTATGACGTCTCTTTAAATCGCACTTTATTTGCACGTAGTAGTTGTTTATTTAAGTAGAGAAGTTTTATTTGCGCTAAAGTGTTGGGTATTTCAGTTTGCAGTTCAGTTTTTAGAAAATAATTAGATCTTGTTAGACGTGAATTCGTTCTGTTTTTACCGTTGCAATGTCGAAGCGTCGAAAATGTTTAACAGAGCATGAAATAGCAGAAATGATGCAAATATTTCAGATATTGATTCTGAAATTCTGATATTGATTCTGAAAGATTAACTGAAAGACATTTTCCAAAACTTTGTTCAGAAGAGACACAAGAAAATGAGACGACGATGCTTTGTTTGTTCACATTCTCGAAAAAATCCTCCAAAACGGCAAATGAGTTATTACAAGTGCAAGGAATGTATCGTAGGACTGTGTGTACAATTCCGTGTAGATCCCTGTTTTCAAATTTTTCATACGAAAAGAGAATTTTAAGTAATATATTTAGTTTTCAGATGTATAATGTTAAAAGTCATAAAATGGTGAGTAATGAAAATAAAATGTATAAAATATGCATTTAAACAAGTAATAAGGTAATTAAAGTATACAGTATAAAAATATCTATGAAGCATAAGCCGTTTAAATACTCTATAGAGCATTATTAAACAATGTGTTGATACTTCGGGAATTTCATGGATTTAGGCTTAGTAGCGAAAAAGCACCAGGCCCTGACAGACGCTCACATAAGACACCGCCGGCCTCCGCGATAAGTGCGCGTTTGCGCTACCTGGCTCGAAGGGATTAAAGCAATACGTTGCATGTGATGGATAGGTTGGCTTTGTTCTTTTCGGACAGATTATGGGGGACTTAAACACCTGCTTTGCTTATAATTTCCATTCTGCTTTAAATGTTCTTGGATGGTTGACTAAGGTTGGTTAAGAGTGTTTGACATGGATTTGCTTCCACTTCTGTTGTCGACATGCGCAGAAATGACATTACTTTCCGGTCCCCCTGTTATTTTTTCATTTTTATATCTAAAAGCTCTTAGTTCTTTATTTTCATTCTCTTTGCCTTAGCCTTTTTAATATAATCCAAAAATATTTCTTAAAATCTAATTCGTCACTAGAAAAGGATGATAGAGACTCAATTGCAATGTCTGCAGTTTGACTGTCCTGATTCGAACTCTTCAATTGTTCTGAGAATAATTTCATTTTTAATGAAAGTTCATAGATGACTTTCTTTCCCTTTTTAATTTGTTTGTCATCCAAGAAAATTCGGGGTTTCGGATCTACATATATTGAACCCAGCAAGATCTCATTTCTAGAAAACTATTTTCTCTTTTCTATATTGAAGAAATGATTCCTTATGCAATAAACCCTCCATTTCAGAAAGAACAAACATCCCATTCTTCCATTCTCACCTCCTGTTAATTCTTCAGATTGCAGCTTTTTTGTGGCTATATACATTGTAGAAAGAAGAGTTTCCAATTCTGCAAGACATTCCACAGTCTTTCTCTTAGTGAAACATTAGGATTATCTACTTCTAAAAAAGTTCTTAATTCTAAATACTCTTTATTATCAAATATTTACTTTCTTATCGTGTTGCTTGATCAATAATTGCTCCTTTTCCTGCTCGCTTCCTAAGAATGGCATCAATTTTAGGAGTTCTTACTGCTATTGCTGCTTACCTAAATTTACCAGTGAGATTTGTAACTAAATGAATCAGTTTAATTGCTGATGGCAAATATGATATCCATCCTTATATTTATTTATTAATATGTGAATAAAATAGAAAATAACTATTTATTAATGTATACAGTTCGTAAATAAGAATAATAACTCAGCTTGTCATTAATTTTTCAATTCATTTTAATTTCATTTCAAATTCAAACTGTCCAACAAAAACTGGAGTCGGAGTCAACCTGTTTTTAGCGACTCCAGCTCCGACTCTCTTTACCCCAAAATCTGTCCGACTCCACAGCCCTGACTATACTCTTTGTTATTCATTTATTAATACAAAAAAAAAAAAAAAAAAAAATTAGACATTGCTGCACGAGTCACATCTCAAGTTGTCATGCGGTGATGAAAGCAAAAATAAATTATGATTCACTAGGTTGGCATCAGGCATATAAAATATTAGTTAGATATAAAATCAATGATATTTCTTAGTGCCAAAGTGAAATTAAGAATCAGGACTCTCTGCATGTTTTATATATATATATATAAAAATCTGAAATGTTTCAGATTTTAAATTACGTCCAAATTAAATTAAATGTTTTTTGTAAATTAAACGTTTTTTTAACGTTTTGTGCGTTATCTTTATTTGTTAAACATCATGTTTTTCGTACTTAAACCATAAAATTCAATTCAACAGGAATAGTTTTAAAATGAGCATATCTTTAGAATTACCGATACAAAAACTCACGCGCCGGAGATAAAAATGTTTTTTCTGCATAACGTTGCCATTGCTCGCTTTGAAATCCTTGAGTTTGTTAATCAAAAATTCGTCAAAGTTTTAAAAAATAGAAAATCGATCATAAAACAAATTTCAAATTTGGTCTTCCACATGCTGATACTCGTTGGAGGATTACGTTATTCAAAATTCGATGACTCTATGTACCGTTGTTTTAACACAATACGAGAAATATACATACATTTATGCAGATTTTTCATTATTTAATTTCTTCAAATATAATGCAGGACTCTAACATTTTGTGGCAACAGTTTGAAAAGTGAACCGACATTTATGAGTCCGACGCAAAATGCCAAAACGAAACTAATAGTCCTTTGGGATTCAAATCCCTTTGGACTAAAAAGTCGGGTGGTTTTGAGGTCCTTATTTTAGATTACTCCGGCCTTTTGAATTGATCATTTAGATTTTGTACAGTATATCTTTTCAATATGTATTCCAGCAAATTCCCTTAACCTTTCGCTATTGTGTTTTCGGTGTTTTGAACAGAGCTCTTTCTAAGTGCAAACCCACCACAATTGGCACATTCTGGAAAGTTGTTGAAGAGGAATGGATCAGTACCCTTGGAAATATTATGAAAAGCCCAATTGACATTGAAAGTCATTGAAATCATGAAGCAGACTTACATTCTAGAAAAATGTAAATTAAATAACCCCAAAATTGTTCTAAAAATGTATAAATACCATCTGTAAATCCCCCCCTCCACTAATGTTTTTTTTTTTTTTTTCATAGAGATAAAAGCGTAAGCGTATGCACTAGTTTATTTAGCAGCTTTTTTAAATTTATATCTTTTCTTCTCTAGTGCTGTGCATATCTTTTTCAATCTGCTCATTCAGTTGCTTTTGGGAGTACCCCTAGAGATGGTTCATAAATGGTGGCGAGTCATGTTAGTCTATTTGGGTGGAGTTCTTGCAGGTAATTAAATTTTATCAGATAAAGAATGTACCAATGTAAATAACTGTCACATAAAATGCTTTATTTTTCTGTCTAACCTTGTAAATTGCAGTTGCCTTTTATTATAAGCAATATGCAAAAATATTTATTTTGCAAAAGAACATAGACATTCAATTCTTGATGTAGTAAACTCGATTGTAGTGAATATATGGCTACTGTGTACTCAAATCATTAATCTCAGTGTGCATACGTAGAAAATATATATTAAAATTTTTCTTTCTAGACTCCCGTCACCCTAGAATTTTCAGTAATCATTGTAACTTGTTTCAAATAAACCCTTCTTTTAAGAGCTTAAAAGAATATATTGAAAATAGTATTGAAGTTTATTGTGTATTTGTTAAGTAGATTGAAGGGGAAAAAAAGTACTTCAGTTTTTTTTTTTTGAATATATATATACGAGGGTTGGAACTTTAATAGTGGCAACTATTTATTTACAAGGAATACAAAAGTGATTCATGTCACCATGTTTTACAGTCCTTCAATATAGTCGCCAGCATTGTGTACAACCCGTTTCCAATGATGTGGAAGTCGCAGAATACCTGTAGCAGTGCCTGTTTTGTTGATAGTTTGAATGGACCGGTCTGCTGCCGCAAGAATCTCAGGAACAGTTTGGAAGCGAGTGCTACGAAGTGGTTCCTACATCTTAGGAATTAAGTCATAGTCACAAGGGCTTAGATCTGGGGAGTATGGTTGATGGTAAAGCACTTCCCAGCCCCATCGCTTGAACAAATCAGTCACAGCTTGCGCTGCATGCGGCCGAGCATTGTCATGCAAAATGAGAGGAGCGTTCTGCAGAAAGTGCGGCCGTTTTTTTCTCAAAGCTTGTCGGAGATTGTGCTCTAAAAATGAGCAGTAATACTGCGCAGTGACGGTTTGCTGTGGGGGACGGTATGCATTAGGATGACACCATCACAGTCATACACGAGAATCACCATATCTTTCACATTGCTGGGGTTCTGACGAAATTTCGAACGTCGTGGTGACCTGTGATGACGCCATTCGTTTGATTGGCGTTTCAGTTCTGGCTGGTACGATCAGGCCCAAGTCTCATCCAGCGTAATGATACGGCGTAAAAAAGCATCTCCTTCGCGCTCATAGCGCTCCAGGTGGGTTCGGGCAGCATCGTATAGTAGCCATTTCTGCATTTCCGTCAATTAATGTGGAACCCATCGTGAAGCAATTTTTCTCGTGGACAGGCGTTCCTTCAGAATGTGCAGCAGAGTCGTATGCGCTAATCCTGTTTGTCCGGCCAGCTGATGAATCGTTTGGCGGTGATCACTGTCCATTAGTGTGGCAACAGCTTGCACGTCTGCATCGCTGACACTCGAATGACCTGGCCGCAGCATGTCTGCCACATTTTGGCGTCCTTCATTGAATGCTTTCACCCATCTTGCTACGGTTCTGTAAGGCAATGCAGATTCCCCGCAAGCCTCTTGAAGCCCTTGATGACGCTGTCATGCTGTACGACCTCTGGCACATTCAATTTTTATCCAACATCGTTGTTCTTGTTTTGAAAACATGGTGACAACACTTACTTTAGACCGCGAGCTAATACAAGGATCCTTTCTTCGCATCACTTTGCATGCGCGTGACATAGGCAGGACGAGTCTTTTTGCTGAGAGGTAAGGTAGGTATGTAGTTCACGTGTGGTATATGCGATATTCTTTGGTTTTGTTGCATAGCGTTTTTTCAGCTGTGTTGCCACTATTAAAGTTCCAACTCTCGTACATATATATTTTTTTTCAATGAGAAGCACCTGTCTGTGAACAGATGAAGAAGTGTTATTCCATATTTCTTGAATGACATGTCAGGCAACCTTTGTAGTTGTCTGAGTAAATCTGCTGTTCTTGCACTTCTGTTTAGTAATAATGCTTGCAGTACATCACCCTTTATGAGCTACATGTATTCTCAGGCTGTGCTGCTACTCAGCTGTGTTGTCTAGCAGCCATCGAGAAAGAAATTAAAGGCTAGCAGTACCAGGTGTACAAGTATGAAATGCAGATTTCAGACAACAGATGGCGCACCAATGCAGTTCGTGCTATAAAGATTTGACACTGTGCCATTGTTGTGCCATCAACAAGTGTCAGACGTGTACGAGTGATTGAATTGGAAAAGTGTGTGCATAGTGTTGTATTCAATATGTCGAAAGTTATACCAAACGAAGAGCGTTTGTGGACAGCATTAGCTTTTCGTTTTCATTTGAAAAAAACTGCTGCTGAATCATACAAATTACTTTCAGAAGCTTATGGTGAACATGCTTCATCGCAAGACATATGTAAATGATGGTTTCGTCATTTCAAAAGGATCGACTTCGATGTTGCAGACAAGGAAGCAGGAAAATCAGCAAAAAACTACGAAGATGTGGAATTGCAAGTATCCTTAAACGAATATGATTCGCAAACACAAAAACAACTCTCCCAACCAATTGGGCGTTAGACAACAAGCTGTTTCCATTCAGATACGAGAGATGGGAAAGATTTAGAAGACCGTTAGATGGGTACCACATCAGTTGATCTACAGGCTAATGGAAAAGTGCGAAAACGCATGTGACATTTTACTGGCTTGATACAAAAGGAAGTCATTTTTCCTATGAAAATGTCAAAAAAAATCGTTGTACAAAGATGTGAAAAAATGGCTTGATGGATGGTTCACATTAAAAGGGGAAAATTTTTACTGGCATGGTATTCACAAATTGCCCGAAAGACAGAAAAAATGTATAAGAAGCTGTGGAGCATACTTTGAATAAAGCTTTTTTTTATCATTCTTCCATATTTAACATGTTTTCTGAGATTAAAAAATCCATGTTTCATACCTGTACACCTGGTACATTTCAGAGGACCTAAGGGAGAAGTAAACACTTAGCTTAGGTAGTCAATTTGTTAACATTCGAACAGTTTTCTTTTTGAAGAAGAGGGAGGAAAATTTTTTTCATACTGAATTTTAGGAATCTAGAGAATTAAGAGTTTAGAGATTGTGTTGAATCGGGACTTTTAGTGCAGTCTTTTTTTCAGACAAAAAGGGATGAATATCATTTCCTGGAACTGAGGCAGCTGAATCCTTTACCATAATCAATAAAAAGAATGACATGGAGTTTTTTTCCCTGAAGGTGGGTCCTTTCCTGAAAGTGGAACTAATCACATATAGTGGAAAACTAATCATCGTGGACATAATTAGTATATTTATTAATAACACAAAATTGCATTTTGAGACTAATAACCCTAATAATTTCATTAATCACTATCATAAACTTCATTTCCTGGAACTGAGGCAGCTGAATTTTTTTCTTTGGGGCTGTAAAAAAATTTTTTTTTGTAACTCAGTTTTGATTGAAAAAAAGATAGATTTATAAAAAACAACAATAAAAGAAGGAAAAAGAGATATATAAATTTTATGTCCTTAACAAAAGTTGTTTCAGTGTTTGGAACAGTAATTGAATTGAGTTTTATTGGGGGGGGTGTCTGTCTTTATTTGTCCTTTTCTTACCTCATAATGTCTGTTTTTTTTTTTAAGTATTCATCGGTCATTATCAGGTTTCTTAAACTTTGTTCACAAGTTTACAAACTGCTTTGTTTGTTTGTTTGTAGGTACTTTTTTCTTTTTTACTGCTGTTATATGGGATATCACAAGTCCTTCCATGTTCATTATTTACATATTCTGGGAGGGGGGAAGAGAAATGGTTTTGAAACACACGTTTACATACAAAAATAAAGTTTAATTAGTACGTTTTAAGTATGATAAACATTAACCTTCTGAGCGGCCAGGAATTTCGTTAAGAAAGCACAAATTTCCCCAAACTACAATGAGAACAAATTATTTTTTTGATTTTAATGTAAAAACTCTGCTGGTATTTCATACCTGGGTTTGTGTACTTTTGATATATTGCTTTAATTTCTTTGACATATTTTAATATGCATGTATATGTACCTTCTTACAGATATCAAAAAATATTCTAGGACGTATATATATATATATATATATGGTCTTGTTGCTTAGAGGGTTAATAGACTTGAGATTTTAGAGTGTAATAAATATTGTTTAAAGTTCCTTTTTGTTACATTATTTGTTACTTAATATTGCAAGATATTTAATCTTACATTTTAGTTGGCTTCTAATAATGTTCTGAAAGTTTATTTATGAGTATGCTGAAGGTTCTTTTTAATGCTTCATTAGCACTGTCATTGCATGCTATTGGTGCCTTCAAGCTTTCAACAAATTTTGCTTAAATGGTGCTGTTGGCATGATTAATCATTTATTATTACTTATTGTTACTTGTATGTAAAACTATTAACTGAAAAAATATTACATTGTGTATGTCTGTTATTTATACTTTCTGAAGAGTTGATTAGTGATTGATATAAATCTAAAACTTCACTAATATAGAATGAATAATTAAAGAGATTGAATTTGAATATTATTTATTTATTTTTTTTTAATTTCAGAAATTCTTGTTAAAGTGTAAATATTAATAATAAAAGGAAATTTCATTAATCAGTATCATAAACTTCATTTCCTGGAACTGAGGCAGCTGAATCCTTTAAGAACTTTCAAGAATCTGAAATATCAAACTTAAATGAATGTATATAAATAAAGTGTTGATTTTTATTCAGTAGGATTAATCAAGCCTTATTATAAAAATAATTATTTATTTGCTCAAAATAAGCTGCTGTATTCCCATAAAAAAATCATAATTTTTTTCTTTAGAATATGTTTTGTAATTTGATTGAAGTTACCAAATATTCAGCCTTCTTTTAAACATATTTTAGGATCTCTTGGAAGTTCCCTTTCTGATCCAGCAGTTTATCTAGCGGGTGCATCTGGTGGAGTATATGCTTTAATTGCTGCACATCTGGCCAATGTGATAATTGTAAGCGTAATAATTTTGTGATCTATTGATTTAAAATGAGTATTTTTAATATTAAAATGTTTGATCTCTATTTTTTCCCAAAGCATAAACTAAATATATCATATGGTGTTGTAATTATTAATTTTGAAATCTGACAGTGCATATGTCTTATATTTGACTGCTTTCAGTTTGTTGTATCTATGCTACCATTTAAAAGATGTTCACAATATAATATTTATTATGTAACTGTAATTATTTAATATTTTATATCATGATTTATGTAAACTCTCCAGTGGCCAAGTGGTTAAGACCACTGAACATTTGTATTTTATCCTGGGTTCAAATCTGGGAACAGTCTGGCTGAATAGAGGTTTTTGTTGTTTTCCCTACATATAACATGAACAAGGAACAATTTCTCTTAGAATATCTTTTACGAAGATGGAAGGTAATCCCTTTATTGTGAAGGCAGAAGATAAGCCCTTTATCTGCCTTTAGTATGGAATGGTGAACATAAAATACAGTCAAAAGTCGTTAATTCAGACACCCATAATTCGGAATGATCTATAATCCAGACATCAAAACTAAAAACTTTCTGCGCATGCGCCACGTTGACACATGCGCATAGGCGTTTATGCGTGCACGTAAGACCTTTTACGACTGCGCATATGAGTGTGCGCAAGTGCAGAATACGTTTTTGCGTGCGCGTTTTATGTATAATGGACGTATAAGCTAAAATTATCTAATTATCTATTTCAGTTAATGTTGATGATTGCGTTGTTCCTTAATTTTCGAATTGGATCCGGCTTATTATTTTTTGCAGACTGTAAGAGCAATTTTATAAAAGTAAGCTTAAACTTTCGATTATATTAAATAGAATTTCCGATATATATTTGTTAATATGTAAAGGATCTAAAGCGAAAGTATGTTTTGAAATCCGAAATCTGTTTATCAATTTCACGCTGCTCGGTGGGGGGAACGCCGCAGCGGGCGCGTAATGAATTGGAAGTTGATCAGTCAGCACTATCCTTATCTTCAGGACAGATGTTTTTATTTTATTTGGCTTATAATTCCTTACCAAATTAGTATTTCATCTCGATGTGCTCCGTCTTTGATATGATTTAAAACAAGTTCCTCGTCATTATAATTTGCTTCCTATAGCGAAGAAAGTAACAGAGGTTAGTGAAAACGAAAAAATTTCGATTGACAAATTAGTTGGTGTTCTCGACACAGCAATTATAGGACTTGAACAGTGGAACTTTGTAACTGAACAAGAAATTATGTCTGTTTAATAGAATTAAAGAAAAAGTATTATCACATGAAACAAAGCAAAACTTAAACAACTTACATTGAAAGAAATGTTTAATAAAGTAAACAAATAAATATTAAGCTTTTTCTTTTTGCAAATTTTGATACCCTTTAGATCATAATTGTTCTTTATTTCATAAATTACGGTTTCATATTTTTAATTTTAGAATTTCTGCATGCCATCTTACGAGATTTAAACTGATGTTCTATAATCCTGAAAAATCGATAATCCGGAATCGCCGAAGTCCCGACGAGTCCGGATTAACGACTTTTGACTGTATATTAAACAGAGTTTGCTCAGTTTTCCTTTAAATGCAAGCTGTAGTCTTTCATGTGAAAGATAAAATTTTGCATGAAAATTAAATATTCTTATTAATTTTTTTAATTCTTTCTAAAACGTGTCAGACATTCTTGAATAGCTTTTTGATTTATGTACTGGGGGGGGCAGATTACAGTGATGGACTCAGGCCCACATTACCTCTGCTAGGTCATAGCACAAGTAATGAACCTCTGTTGAGGCTTCACCTAAATGGTGGCATCACCAACACTTCCTCTTCGACTCTTGTGGTGAACAGACATGGTTTTTCCTTGCTGCCCAAAACTTCAAAAAGCTCATATGCAAAACCTGCATCTGCAGCTATGTGTTTTGTGCATGTTCTTCATAATTATTAAATGTTATTAAGTGAATCAGTTAATTCATGCAACCTGTTTTAGGTACTTTAGTATTTAATTTCAGAGATCAGGTTATGTTGGAGATTCACAGTGCAACAGAACAGAACATCAAGGAAGAGGATTGTTTTCAAAACTTTGAAGCACAACTAATTCGATTCAGAGTAGAATGATTTATGTATGTTGTAAACATATGCTTAAATGAAAACAACATGTACTTATTTGAATGGGATATCATTAGTATTAGTGAATACTAGTGTCAAAGTTTATTTAAACTCTGTTAGAAAAAACTCCATTTAAATGTGGTAAAGACATGTACCAACAAAATTCTGTATCTGTCAAAATAATTATCCTTTTGATATGAATTCTCTGATTCTATGCTCTGAAGGTGAGAATATATTTGATTTCATTATGAAGGATTGGCTGTTGGCATTGCCATCAATTATTAAAACGAGTTTCACTAGAACTGGCATTCTGTCAAAGAGTTGCTTTTCAGTGAGCAAACAGTTACTCATATTATGTATATATAATCTAAGACTTGCTTCTGATTGATTTGAAGAAACATGTGTAATGTTCTTTACAGTAAACTTTTAACAAGCATCAAAATTCATAAAGAAAGCTATCCAGCGAGACTTTTGGTAAACAGACTTTCACTATTTCAGCAAATTTCAACACAAGTTTGCTGAACTCGGCTATGCTTACATAAAAGGATGGTATATCAAGTGTGTATTCAACAAGTGGATTTTATGTGCAAATTCCAGAATTAATTGGCTTTGACATTACATGTTTACTATCATCATCAAATGCTTATTTCCATCTGTCCCTTTATTAGTGTCTTAAATGGTTTTTTGTGAAATCCTCGATTGTAAAACTGAGAATCACATGTAAATTTATTACTAACATCTATCTCTGAAGCTTTTCATATCACAAGTAGTTTTACAGTGTTTTAGAACCAACAGACACACCTATAAACTGCAAGAATCTTTATGAGAACATTAATATCTCCTACTAATATTTGTTATATATTAGCTTATAAATTAGGATATTTTGCTTTCTTACTTTCTTTAATAATATAAATATCATCGTAATAAATATAAGTTTATGAAAATGGAGTCTAAACTAAGTAAATATACAAATTTAGCTAATAAAAGTGTCTTTGAATACAGGTCTTCATGACAGATCCCAAAACCCATGCTGCTCAGAGGGTTAATTTCACCTGCATAAAACCAACCACAGCCTTTTATTTTTACTTTTAATGTGCAAAGATGTTCGCAATACATCAGAATTTCATGAACATGAATTTAAGTACTTACTATAATTCCAGAAAACAATAGATACACAATAGATGTATGATTTTGAGAAAACATGTAACAAGAAGATCAGTAGACATGTTTCTGCAGTTTTTCTCAAAAAGTAAAGTTGTTATGAACAGAAGCATCAAGTAAAAGTAAATCTATTGGAACTCTTCCAAATACTGTTGAGTCACCCCACGTATCTGCTCTATTTGCCTTTACCATAGCCCCATGTATCTGGAAATTGTTAAGATCAGATAAATTGGATCAGAACAGATATTTCAGATGTATATGTTATCCCATTTGTAATGACGGTATGAGCAGAGAAACTCACCATATTGGGTCAGTATCTGCATTGGTGAAATAAATTAAGAGAATTTGCATATTTTATCGAATTGCATGAAAAGAACTGAATTGAAGAAAAAACCACTGCTTCTAGATAAAAATGCAAATCTTGTATGGCAAATATGTAAGCGTACATGTGTGTGTAAGCGGAGCCAGCAGGAAAACAGTCTTTATAAGCACATGGAGGGTAGGACGAATTGCATTCGCTAGCACACCTCGGCTGATTTCTTGGTGTTATCTTTCAGCAATCAGTTAAATTTTTATCAGAACAGTAAAAATGAGTAACCATGAACATTTAGATGATAGAATAAGGTGGCGAATTGTAGGAAGGCTAGAGGCAGGCCAATCACAACTCCAGATATGCAGAGAGTTTAATTTAACACCCAGTGTCATGTGTAATGTATGGAAACAGTCCAGGATACTGAATCCATCGAGAGAAAGCCTGGGCAAGTTCGTCCAAGAGCCTTGACGGCCAGAGAAGATCGCTATTTGTCCATTTTAGCGAGGCGTAACAGAGGAGCTACAGCTTTTCAGCTCTCTCGGGACCTGTACGCAGCCACAGGAACCTGTGTAACAAGGGTGACTGTTTCCAAAAGACTGAATGAGAGGGTTGTTTGCCAGAAGACCTGCTGTTTGTGTCCCGCTCCATGTCTAAGGACAGGAGAGTACCATTAGCATGGTGCAGGCAGCATAGTGATTGGATCGGAGCAATGGGTGAGGTTTTAGCCTAAAAACCGATTCTTGCTGTATTTTCGTATAAAGAGAGCCAGGGACCTACCCTCCAATGTCCACAAAATCAATGATTATGGCAGTGGCAGTGTAATGGTCTGGGCAGGCATCATGTTTGATAGCCACACACCTCTCCATGTCTTTGACAGAGGCTCTGTGACTGTGTGAGGTATAAGGATGAAGTCTTGGAGCCCTATGTTTGACTTTTCCGGAGTGCAGCGGGCCCTGAGTTCATCTTGCAGGACGATAACGCGAGGCCACATAGAGCTGTTCTGGTCGACGAATTTCTTGAGAGTGAGGATATTCGTTGGATGGATTCGCCAGCTAGGTCTCCAGACCTCAACCCTATAGAGCATGTCTGGGATGCTCTGGAGAGTGCAATTGCAACTCATTACCCCCCTTCGAGAACCATGGAGGAACTGAAAACAGCATTCCTAAATGAATGGGACCAATTGCCGCAGACACTGATAAACTGCCTTATTTCCAGTATGACATCACGCTGTGAAGCATGTATGGCTGTGAGAGGGGACCTATACCTCTTATTACCTTATTACCGCAAGGTTCGCAGGAGTTATTAACCGGTCTTATTAACCCATTTCTTTTGTGTCTTCTGCAACCGCTGTTTCAGACCTTCAGACTCCCATGAGGATTACAGAAGAACATGTGCGTCTATTATAACTGAATGTTTATTTTGTTTGTATTGTATCAACCTATGTTCACATCAAATTTTATTAAAATCTATCCAGTAGTTCTGGAGATCATACATCAAATATGAAAATTCTCTTAATTTATTTCACCAGTGTAGAAAACTATCTGTAAGATTTGCCAAACACAAAAAGTGTATTTGGAAACACTTTACTGTTTCATCAATGAAATAACATATCTCTGATTAAATATACTGTTTTTCCTTTTATTAGACAGTAATGACAAAATAGTAAAGTTATGTAGTTAAGAAATAAAAAAAAAATATTTATTTATTTATTTTACGGTAATCTGACCACTCAGTCAGCAGCTATTCATGATGAAATGAGTGGGGAAAAAGAAAGAAAAAGCTAGGTTTGCCCCACTTGCATTACAGGATTCGTTGCTAAGCAATATTGGTGAAGGACAAGGTGTGCACCAATGAAACAACATGGCACCAACAACATTCACATTAAATGAATGGCTCAAAGCCAAAATCATATCAAACCCTGGCATATAAACAGCCTCAAAATTAGAAAGAATCAGCATGAAACTGTATTGCAACAGAGACCTTTTCTTCCATAAATCTTTGGCTATTGATTATCATAAATCTATGTCTAGATGTCTATTCTGAGTACAACAACACAGCAGAAACCAATAATAAACAAATAAAGATGAGAAACTTGATCAAGCAATCTATTTCACTCCAGCTGACAAAGCATATAGGTCATCTATGAAAGTTCCTCTACTTTTATTTATGTTTAAAAATGATTCCAGCATGCCAAACTTATAGTATTTTATCTCATTTTAACTTAAGTAATGATGTTTGGAAAAAGTTTCCTGTTTGGCGTAACAATTTCACAAGAATAAAATTTCGATTTTGATGAATCTGCCATCAGTTTGAACTTTAGTAAAAGAGATCAGTCAGTAATGTGAATGTCCTTTACACATTAACAAATATGTAACTGCATCATATTTAAGATCTTTGACTGTTTTGTCAATTTTTCCACCATATAATTTGAAATTTATAGTATAACCCAAATACGAGGTATATAAAATCCACATTTCAGTTAGCTTATATTGGTATTGTGCAGCATATACTACACAATGCCTAGTGATCCTTTGATTTTTATCATTGTCTCATCAATGGAAATAGGTTATAAAGTTTAACACAATCTGAAAATATCTCTTTTGCTTGATAAATAAAAATAATGTTTGCAAAAACCTGAAATTTAGATAATTTTCCTTTAGTTCTTTCTCTGTGGCTGAGATGTAAAAATAATAGGGGTTTCCGACTACCTGACCCCTAGTCATGGAAAATTATTGATAATGCAGCACACCATATCATCAAAAAGTATTTATGTGGCAATCGTCAATGTCACCAAGAAGTATTTATATGCATGCAGTGCACATGTGTTTGAGTGTACATGCATTTTGAAATTCAATAACAATTTCTTTGTACATCAGGTACATCTATTATATGAACTGTAATTTTACTGTGGAGTTTGTTGGCTCATAAAAAAGAAAATGTTTCTTCTTCTTCTTCTTCTTCTTCTTCTTTTTTTTTTTTTTTTTTTTTTTTTTTTTTCAGAAATCTGATGTTCTGTCTAACAATAGAGAATGCAAAATTTTACATTATATGAAGTTGTACTTTTTAAATGACCATATTTTATGGAAATGCAATATAGAAAATTGCAAGCAAAGTGTTAGAATGTAGGTTGAAATCTGTTTTGAAGATATTTGAAGTATATCATTTACTGTTTTATTTTAACTGGACAAAGGAGTAAATATGTTGCTAAAATTCTGTGAGAAGAACTAGAATTATTCCTAAATACAAATATCAATTGGTATCATTATGTCTAGAAGTGTGCATACTTTCTGTGGAAAATGAAGTAAAGAAATAGGTGACACTGGATGCATCATTAAAATGGATGTAAGGACCCCCTCCTCCCCTAAAAATGTGTTTTCTGTCCAAAGCCACCTATGAGTTCACAAATGTTATCCAAATCAAAAAAAAGTTTGTTGTCAATGTTGCAGGAAGTGTGGAAGTAAAGTACTAAATAATGTTTAATTTTCAGAAACCTGTTTCTACTTATCAAATTCTTTATATCCTAATTCCCAGCTGTGGAATTCTAAGATCAATAATAATTTATTAAGTACATAATGTTGATAACAAAAAACAAAACACACACACAAAAGAAAAAACTTTCGTAAAATGCATATTTTATTAATACAATAAGAAAATATAATAAGAAAGTTTATTTTTAAGGAAAAATCAACTTACATTTGAGCAACATGATAGTTTCTAACCAGTTGTTTTATTACATTTCTTATATTTATGAATATAAAATTGTAAGTAAAAGATTTTTATATTTGCAGTAAATGTCATGTAAATATTGTTCCAAAGTATTATAATAACGTTCACGATTCTTCTTGTGCTATTCATTTGCTACCTCAGCTAAGAAAATAATTTTTTCCAAAAACTCATTGGAAATATGAAATTGTAAAATTCTGTGTCATATATTTGAATTAATAAAATGATTTTTCATATAATGTTTTACTCTTGTTTTCAGAATTTTAAAGAAATGACGTTTGGATGGGCCCGTCTTATAGCACTTTTGGTGTTTGGAGGGACAGATATAGGAGTTGCATTTTATTCTAGGTATGTGGAAGAAGATAAGAATAAAACAAGTTATGCTGCTCATATTGCTGGCGCCCTTGCTGGCTTGATGATTGGTATCGTGTGTCTCCGAAATCTCCGTATACGAAAATGGGAAACAATTTTGGGCTGGTCATTGTTTGCTGTATATCTTGTTCTCATGCTGTTTGTAATTTTGTGGAATATCTTTAATACATCTTATTATCCTTAAGCAGGTATACGATGAATAAAATTATTTCAGTTTGATAAAACGGATAATTTTTAAAGATTAATTTCATATTCAAAATTTACATGTTTTCTTTGTATACTTTTGAGACAGTATTCTTTAATAACAGTTTACATATTGTTGAGAAAGTTTATATTAATAAGTGTGCTCAATATAAATATACCTTTGTTTCAAAATATTATTTTGTGGTGTCAGTATTATAAATGTTGCACACATTTGTGAAAATATATATATTTTTTTCATCTTGAAGAAATATTTTTATTGATATATTTAATTTATGTACTTAAGTGTTACATTTATCTATCACCGGTGAAGTAGTAATAAATTTTAAGTTGTATAATGTTAAATGCTACCTTTGTTTCAAAATATTATTTTGTGGTGTCAGTATTATAAATGTTGCACACATTTGTGAAAATATATATATTTTTTTCATCTTGAAGAAATATTTTTATTGATATATTTAATTTATGTACTTAAGTGTTATTACATTTATCTATCACCAGTGAAGTAGTAATAAATTTTAAGTTGTATAATGTTAAATGCTGTTAAATTTCTTTGAATCTCTAGCCACAAATTTGTTAGTTTTTATATGTGGGAAATATTTTGATGCTATGAAGTGAAAGATGTATTAATTGAAATTCTAATGATTGATGCTAATAATTTTTTCAGATGAAGTGTAATTAATTATTGTGTAACTATGTTTTATTAATTAAAGTTAATTTTTCTGTAAAAACTCAAAAGATTTTCTTACTATTGATCAGTGTTCCAGTGGGGAAAAAGCTTTTTAAAAATCTGTTATTTCTTTATGAATCTTAAGATTGTCATTTATTTTTATTAGATGCATCTGGGAATTAAGTGAAATTATTAATTTAAAATTTGTGGTCAGAAAGCAAAATATGATGTTTTTGTATTTCTGTTAACAATTAGCTGTACTGAGAAAAGGTAGCTGTGGAAGTGATACATTATATTTTGTTTTAGAATTACATTTTAAAATATGAAATTTTCTTATTTCACTTTTTTTGTGTTATCAGTAGACTTTTCTTATTTATTAATCAGTTGATGGCAGTGCATGCATTGTAGTGAGCGAAGATTTTGTTTTTTATTTCATTTAAGAAGTTATTATTTAAAATATATGAAATGCATTAGACAATCTTGAAAAGCCTAGTAATGCAGTGAAGTAAAAAAAAAAAAAAAAAAAAAAGAAGGTAATGGAAGGCAGCTTTCTTTTCTTTATACAATAAAAGATTCAGTTATTGAAATAATTTTTTTCACTTTTCACTAGCAGATTAGAGATTTATAAACATCAGTTTCAAATTGTTTTTTTTAAATAAAATGCTAATTAAAGTTGATGGTACATTCTTAGGAATATTAAATAAATATTTTCTTTGTGTGTGAGAGGAGGTAGGGATCACTTCACTTATCTTTAACATTAAAAAAATAATAATTACTGTTTATCTTAAAATATTATTTTAAAAAATATATATCTCATTCGTTAAAAATATATATCTCATTTAAAAATATATATCTCATTTAAAAATATATATCTCATTCGTTAAAAAATATGAATTCTTGTTAATACTTTGATGTTAATGTATACAATTACAAGTGATGTGTTTTGATTGTAAATAATAAAACATTCTTCTGCGGTGTTTTGCCATGTGAGCAGATTGAAATTTTTTGTCACTAACTGCAATTTTTTTTTTTTTTTTTTTTTTTTTTTAGGAGAAACATTTTCAGTGGTATTTTTTTTATGAAAGTACATTTAAAAGTGTTACAAAAAATAGTGAAACTGTAACTGCTATATTTTTCAGCATTAGAAAGTAACTTCAATTAATTTTAGGAAAACATATTTTCATAGAGGAATATTATGATTGCTTTTTTAACTACCTCTGTTTAGCATTTTAATTAAATAGCTCTTCTTAACTGTGTGCAATGAAAAGAGAATATATAGCAAAGTTTTTTCTTTCATCAAATAAAAGTGTAAAGTCTTTAAAAAAATTTGGTTGTATAAATCCATTCTTAACTACTGGTGGTTTTTTAATGTACATTTACACACAGTGTTTTTCCTTAGTCTTATATTCTTAGGTCTCAGTTACAAATTATATTGTCGTTGATTTATCGGTAATGCTAATATGTATATATATGGATATATCAGATATAGCTAAATTGAATAAATGTATGTTACAGTTATGAAGAAATTAATTATTTGTTAAATTAATTATCAGTTGAATTGTCAGTGATTTGTAAAAATGTTCTAAACATAATTCATGCTAAATGAAATTTATTTCTGTTATATCTTTAGTAAATACTGGATTTATATGTATAAGATATTATTTATATTATGTATATGTAATGTGTAGTTCACAAGGTAAATTTTTATTCTTTAAATCCTTATTCACTTAAATTTATATTGAATTCTATTTTGAAACACACACATACATATATACAGTAAAATTGTGTTTATCCAGCATAAAAAGCATTGAACAATGGTTGTATAACATGGAATTACTCAAAAATAGATTAACAAGATAAAATCATTGATAAAAAGATATATTTCAATCTCAGCATAGTGCAACAGATCTAATTATTGCATCTTGAAATTAGAATACCATTGTATGTTTTTTTGCATACAAAAATTACAAAATATTTACAAACCCACAGTGCTCTGCATATAAATTTTGTGATAGAAAATGAATATATTCAAATGGCCAGTGAAAGACATTTAAATGCACTTTGAGAAGTTCAACAAGTTGTTATCCGAAAAAGGTAGTTTTAGTGTCATAGCCAGAGTAAAGGTCAGGCGTGCTGTTCTCAAAACTGATTCATCTGAAAGCAAAATTATTATGATTATTGGAATGTGCAAAAGCTCTTAAGGGCTATCTGCCAAAGAGAAAGGATACCTTTGCAAAAGATCTTCTTAATGAGTACTGGCTCATATTCACGTTACACATGGGGAAAACCACAGAACCCAACCAAGTATTCAGCCCATTTGCTTGGAATCAAAACCAGAACAAACCATCATTCAAGGGTTTTAACCATTTGGCCACTAATGGGGCTGAAATTAAATAGACAGTGCATCACGATTGAAGTATGCAATGCAGTAATAACAACGTTTATTACTAAATTTTAGTGGGAATGAAGTATTTATAGTCAGATAACTGCAGGCATATAAATAGGGCATTATGTATGTGTGTATGTACACTGTACAAAACTAAAATTCTAGTGCTATATACACAGTGCATAGCACTAGTTTTAGAAGAATTATCACTTTACATATAATCCTGCCAGTTATCTTACTTAAAAGTACTTAAAAAGTTCAGTAATTTATTATTCTGTTTTTGTCCACTTTTATGTGTATGTTGTCAAATAATTTAATTATAATTAAATTATTTCTTGCATTACATTAAAATAGATTTAAATTTGTAATAACTATTCTTTCTTAATCAGTTGGGGGATATCACTCTAGGAATATATTTTTTTTTATGTTGTTAAAATTTAGATAAGTATTTGTTATCTAAAATGTAATAAATAAACCATTTTCCTAAAAATTATTTTGAAACTCTGCACTTAAGTTAGTATGTCAAATAACATTCCTGTGAAATTTAGCTTTTTAAAATTTTAAAAATTTTGTCCTTTAAATCAAATATTTTTATATTAGTCATCTTATCTTAATTTAGACAATTATGTCTAGATTTTAAAATTCACATTTTATAAATAGTACTTGATTGCAGAAATATTTTAATATCTTGCAGCTTTTCTGATATATACATTGTTAAGAGCTTGATATTTTAACTTTACTTACATGTGGTATTGTAATAATTTATCTATAAAACCAAAATTTTTTATATTTTATTTTCTGCTTTTAATATATATATTTTCAAACTGCCAACATCCGTGACTTAGCTGAGTGGTCTTAAGCAGAGTTGTAATTATATGATATATAGAGTTGTTAGCTACTGAAGTATATTGCCCACTAGAACAAAAGTTGTATTATAAAATTAATTTTGTAATTTGTGTATTGAGTAAACTCTATATTTGTGCTTTATAATGACCGAAGGATTTTGTTGTCCCTTATCTTTAAACGCAATTTGAATATATACCATATTTGCCGGTGTATAACACACACACCCTTTTTTAGACACATTTTTGAAGGATAAAACTTTATAACTGATCATTATAATGAGTTTACAGTATTTTAAGTATAAAGTAATACAAGTAATACTTTCTGCAAATACCCAATCTATCTGGGAAAGAACACCTTTAAATCTTCTTCATCAAAATCCAGACACTCATCTCAGAGCTAAATGAAGAGCAACTTGAAACCTCTTCTAAATCAGCATCTGAGTCCTCATACGACAAATTATTCTCTGTACCATCCAGTGCATTTACTAATGCCACACTTCTTAAATGATGTAACCTCTGTCTCTGTTTTCACAGCATGCTATGAAACTTTGACCCATTCACAAATTTGTGAGATGCTAGGTCTCTTCCTTCTTCCTAAAGGTGAAACCTCAAAATTTGAAGACTGCATCCAGCTTTTCCACTTCTCCTTTATAAATCTCTTAAATGTTTATTAATGCAGACATCTAAAGGTTGAAGCTGACTAATTAGGCTTCCTGGAATTGCAGCTGAGTTTTAAATTCTTTGAGTTTATTTTTTACATCTTTTAACTTAACATCTTATCATTTTCTCAGTTGGGTGTGGCTCGAAATGCCTCTCTGCTACGCTGTTTTCATGTTGTTTAGCATACACAATCACACATAACTTATATGCTATGTTATAGCAATGCCAATGTTGTTTTTGAGCCATAACTTGCCAATGAATTGAAGAAAACCGAACAGTAGAAATTTCACATGCTTAAAAGTCGTTCACAAAAACTGGAAAGTTTAAACGAACCCAGCTGTGATCATTGATGACAGTGCATGTGCATTTACTGAACTCCATGTAACTGTAATATTCCCACACTCCGCAAGGAAACAAGAAAAAAATTGCATAACTCAGAATAGAGGAAATTTCCAGAAATAAATGTAATCAAAAACTGAGTATCGACGTATAAGACGCACTTCGTTTTTCATACCTATTTTTAAAGGAAAAAGTGTGTCTTATATGCTGGCAAATACAATATGTAAATTTCAATTTTAGAAAAATGTGTGCCTGCTATTTATAGTAAAAATATTGATAAAATAAGGGAGGGAGTATTTTATAGTAGTTATTTTGATAAAAGTGTTATTTCTGCTTTACTTTAATCCAGAATGCAAAGGAAGCATAAGTTTAGGAAATGATATTAATAATTTTTGGCATTAAACAAAATTTTGTATTTCAAAATATAAACTTAACAAAGTGTTTGATGTTTAAAAAGTTTGTTCGGAAATTAAAATCCAGATCTAGCAAGTAAGCTTGAAATGACAGTGGAAAACACATAAGTATTTTGTAATTATTATTTTATAAATAAAAGCCATAATGTTGTAACTTAAATTGAAAATTCTGAACAATTTTGGTAAATGTGCAATAGCTTGCAGCTCTGCATGTATATAAATTAAATTTATTGACACTAACATATATCCTATTTACCTCTAGATTTGTAGTAATGGTAGAAGCACAATGTATTTATTTTTGCATAAGAAAAAATGGTTATGTTTGAAGTTGCTCTCACAACCAAAGTTTGTTTGTTCAAATATTTGCCGTGTTTATACATTTGATTATTTATTTATTTAATGTTTGTATATTATGTATGAAGTATTATTTAAGAGACTTTTTTATGTTGTATGAAAAAGGAGAAGGTTGTAACTGTTCATATGAACATTGTCCATAACAATTTTTAAAGACTTTTAATTTTTAAGACTATACCTGTGACATGTTAATTTTCATATTTTTAATGCATCGTTGTTTGATTCTGCAAATACTTTAGAGAAATGTTATTTTCCAACTATACTCACATCGATTTTATTAGTCAGAAGGTATTATAATCTCCTTTATTTTCAGAATACTTTCATTTTTAATTTTTGGTATGAAAAGGAGCATCTTTCCCTTGTAAATATGTAAAAAATTTAATAAAATAGCAAACAAAGAAACATGGTTTTAATCAAGAAAACAAAAATTACAGATACTTTCAATTTCAAACCACAATGAAAAAATGATTGATTGGATTGAAATATGCCTCTACAAATATTTAGTATTCTTGGAAATGTGTATGAATGTTAT